GTTTTTCCTGTGACTTATTTGCAGTATGATAAATGGTAGGAGCATAATATACGCTCCCAATGTTTTGTTGGGCTTTTTTTGTAAATAATTACCTTTTATTGCAGTTTTATTTTTTTTATTTTTTTTTGTATCTTGAGATCTATGACGTCATCAAATACTCGAGTTCTACTCGGGTTCTATTATGTTAATGTCGAGTTTAAAAATTATATACTCGTTCAACACCTAATATAGATATTAATATAGATATAAAAAAAAATGTTTAAAATAAGTGGAAAAAGATTTAGATCATTTTTACTTAAAAGTTGAAGGCCTGAATTTATTTTATTTTTTTTGTATATTTCACAATTCAGTTCAATTCAGTTTATTTATAAAGCACCAAATCACAGCAGAAGTCATGTCAGGACAATGAAACATTCATATGTAAAAATAAGTTAACAACAACATCCATATATACGTATAAAAAATAATAATAATAATTTAACATTATTTATCTGAGGAAGAAACCTGTAGCAGAACGGTTAGTTGTTGTAAGTCCTGTTTTGTCACCTTGTAAATTAAATTAGCTAAAGAGATTCTGGTTCGTTATTGATATGATTTTGTAAAGTTAAAATGACACAAGAAATAAAAATATAAGAGTGTATTTGTGGACAACTACACACAGCTGATGTGCTGGTATCAACAACAGAACAACAAGATTTTTATTCTGAAGCTGTAACGTTAGGCTCCTCATCCAGGGAGCTTTCCCAGTTTAAAACTGTGTTTCAAGCATTGGTGGTGTGCTCTGTTTGTGCAGCTCAGTTCACATTCAGTTTAATCTTCCTAATCAAGCGTTGTTAGTCTTTGTTTGTTTAGCTCACAAGAGAGAAGGAGGTAATCTAAAAACCTTCCACAGAACAGAACAAAGAGAAAAACAAATGCAAAACATTGTCATAACTTATATGCTGGAGTGTCTGAGAAATTCAAAGGACTTTCTCCAAACACAACCTCCTGATGGGTTTCAAACCCAACAGGACTCTCAGACTGAGGCTGGTCCATCCTAAGAACAGAACCTCCAAACACAAACTGAGTGGTGTGGTGTCTGCAGTTCAGTGCAATGAGGAAAGTTCAGTTCAGACCACCATATTGGAGAAACTGAACCTCTCTACAGGAGATGCAGCTCCTCAAGATTCAGCTGTGCACCTACACCTCAAGGATGAATAATACGGCTGAGGACCAAAATACTCATATTTTGGACAGAAAAAAGATTGTTTAAGGAGTGAAAGGCAACGACCTTCACAACTCTTCATTGGAAGTGCAGTGAGATTAATCTGCGTGTGAATTTAGCTGCATGAAAGGAGGACGGTAAGCCCAATCTCAGGCTATAAAGTTCTGATTTCTGTCACAAAGCTCTGATCTGATGTGTGCTGCTTCCAGAACAGCACTTTTTACTGACAGTAAACAAAATTTAAAGTCCAAATATTCATGTTTTTATTAGTATTTTCTTATTGCTGAGGCTTCTATGTGATTCAGTTCAGTTTATTTATATTGCACCAAGTCACAACAGGGAAACATTCTTATATAAAAATAATAATTGAACATTATTTATCTGAGGAGCAGCTTTGAGTTTAACTCCATCACAGAACTCTCATCTTGAACAAGCATGAAGGCGACAGTGGAAAGAAAAACTCCCTCATGAGGAAGAAACCTTTAGCAGAACCAGGCTCAGGACAAGCGGACCATCTGCTTCGACTGGCTGGGTTTGGTAGGAATAGATACACAATGGCAGGTCAAGAATCACATGTTAAGATAGAAATAACATCAAATGAAAACTATTCAATTTTAACAATTCATTTAAAGAAATGAGGTACATTTTTCCTCTAGTAGACTAAGCCTGTAGCAGCATAACAAGCCAACCCTAACTATAGGATTTATCAAAACGGAAGTTGGTTCCACAAAAGAGGAGCCTGATAACTGGAAGATCTTCCTCCCATTCTGCTTTTAGAAACTCTAGGAACTGCGAGTAAGCCTGCAGCCTGAGCGCGATGTGATGAGAGAGCTGTATAATTAAAATGCCTTTATAAGTGGTCTCAGGGCACAAGTAGTTGTCCCAGTAACTAATGACTGATAGATATAGGATCTTTATACCGGCTGATTGTTGCAGTATGACAAATGTTTCAGAATGTGGTTTATTTATAGTTTAGTCTGTCTGACAGTGACGGGAATGCTTAACTGAAAATAATCTTCTAAATTCATGAAAACCCAACAAAGTAAAGTGTGCTAAAGTCAATAGCAGAAGCGCATTTTAATGCTCAAATCTGATTGGTTAAAAAAGTGAGGTCATAGGTGAAGCATTACGAGTGAGCTCTGCAGCGAAATCCCTTAGAAGGAAACAAATGCAGCTGCCTTGTGCCCGATCACACTAATATGTGATTAATGTGTCACGATCAGAGCCACAGTGGGTGTAAAGGCAGGATTACACTTCAGTGCCTCTCTTCAGATTCCCTTCACAAGTTAAGACTGATATTCAGAACAAACCTCGCTCATTTTAAACATGTTAAAATAATTCAGTTGGAGTTTGTAGCTAAGTTGAGCTCTTTACTCACAATTTATATACAATCCTGAGCACACTGTAAAGCCACTGTCAAGACTCGAGCAAAACATTTCGAAACCCTTTCAAATAAAACTTAATAAAATTTACATTTTTAAAGCAGTCGTTTGCATATTAGAGTAAGCATGCACACATCGAACCATAAATGCGACAGCAAATTAAATATTTGTTCTGTTCTGCAACTTTACCAGTCAGATTATTGGAAAGACAAAATATTACCAGTAAAATAAATTAGTAACTGGGAATAAAAAAGATTTTCTGCATGTCTTTCTGTCTCTCCCCCCTGTCCCCTGTCTCTCTCTAGTTGAGTTTTGGGGGGATGCCGTACAGCGGGAAGCCAGTGGGAGGTGGAAGAAAAAACTTCAAAGGCTGCATGGAGAGCATCAACTACAATGGAGACAATATTACAGACCTGGCCCGCCGGAAGAAGCTCGACACTTCCAGCTTTGTAAGAGAAATGTGAATTCATGTTCATGTGGGCAGACATGCAGCATTTCATCAAAGTTTAGGTGCAAAACCTACTGTGAAGTCTAAAGCTGCAAAGGCAGCTGAATGCTTCAAATGCTACACCTGGTTAACTGAATGTGGAAAGTGGAATTATCTACTTCAAGGAAATAAATGACCGTAGGTTTCTAAATAGGTTACAATGTAACAAATAAATGTATTAATCAGACAAAACAAGATCCGTATTTAAACCTAATTAAAGTCAGTTCATTCCAATAGCACAATAGGAAATGGCAATTAATAAAAAGTATTTATATACCAAAACCTGCAGACTGCATTGAATGAGTTACTTTGTCGCAATCCCCATCTTGAGTAACACTTTGGTGGTAGTGGAAAAGAATGACACCCTTTTTTAAATAAACCTCCTGCAGGACTTGGCTTAGGAAGGATGTCTATCTGCCTCGACCATCTGGGAGCTGCAGGGGAAGACACAAACAGACACGCATATCGGTACAGGTGTAGCTTCTGTTGGAAGCAAAACAAAGAACAACACGTGTTAATTACAGGAAGAGTTGCATGTGTAAACACGGAGCGTGGAGAAAGTAAAGAGGGAGGAAAGGTGGTCAGCAGTCCAACCCTGTAACAGCATAACTGAGACATGGCGGAGGAAATACAAGAAGACATTAACAAGAAGATCTTTCACAAAGGAAAATCTTAAAACTACACAGAATATCCGCCTCACAGACTCTACGAAGGAGTAGTACAAAAGTTTACCACTCTGTCTGGTATTTTTTTCTGATGGTCGATGCCACATTAATCAAAACTTAAAATAAATACGAATGATCGTTTTATGCCGACGACACAGTTGTTTATTGTCGAGCTAAATCAGTTGCTAAGGTTTTCCAGATTTTATAGTCTGCATTCACCATCATCCAGTCACGTGCTTCATCTCAAACTGGCGCTGAATGATAAAACCAAGTGGATGTTGTTTTCAAGCATTTATTGTTATTTCAGATGCATTTTGTGGCTGTTTACCTTTTCTGTGGTTTTCTCTAAATCACATCTCTCTTGTAAATGAGTTCTCGTGACTCAATGAGACTAACCTGGATTAAAAAAAAAACGGTTAAATTAATTAAAAATGTATTGGAACTAAACAGATTCCTGCTCATGTTGACTTTTTTATAGCGAGCAGAAACAAGGTCAAAAGGTCGTCTCCAAAGCTCGTCTCTGATTTGGATCTGCTCCGATCACAACTGAAATGAAATTGTTCTGCTCGTTTTTGGAGATCCGTGCAGTTTTAGATCCTCACTTGCAGAAATAAATTCCCGCCAACGCTGATTCTGATTTGATTTGCTGACATGATAATTCACCATTAGAGTATTTTGTTGCCCAATTTGTATCAAACCCAGTTGAACATTTCTGCAACTCTGTGATTGTACAAGATAAAAACAAAACCCTGAGACCAAACAGCATGCAGCCACGGCAGAATCCTCATCTCCTTTTCTTCATCCACAAGATTATACAGCCTGTAACGTTTTTGGTCTTTGGTAAACTGCATAAATGGAAGAATTAATTAAGTTCATTAAAGCCACACCTCTAATCCTCTTTGACTCACACAGCTATTAATTTCTAATCAAAACAGATCCACTTTCAGATTTGAAACCATGCACAATCAGGAAACATTGATAACTCGTGAGCCAATGCATATTGCATGTTTGCAGAAGATTTGATTAAATTAAACTGCTTGGATTGAAATTAGTGCCTAATTTGCACAAGTTATTTTTTCTTTTCTCCTCCAGAAAACAAACCCCATCCAGTGTACTGATCAAAAAAAACTAAATCAGATTGTTTTGCTGTGTAGAAGCATGAGCAGTCTTTTCATCTGAGGTTAAAATGGATTCAAAGCAGCAAACTGATACTGATAGGTGCAGATAAAATGCATCAAAAGACCAAATACATACATTTTCTCTGACCTATGACCTCCATTTTGTTCATTTTTATTCATATCTATGTCCTAGCAGCGTAACCTGTCTTTCACCTGCGTGGATACGCACACCTTCCCGGTCTTTTTCAACGCCACGAGCTTCCTGCAGCTGCCGGGCCGAGCCAACCACGACATCGTGTCCGTAGGCTTCCAGTTCCGCACGTGGAACCCAGACGGCCTCCTACTCTTCAGTAATCTCGATGACGGCACGCTGGAGATCTCCCTCGAGGACGGAAAAATTACAATTCATATCAACGTGTCAAAGGCGGACAGAAACTACCGGGTGGACTTGTTATCAGGTGAGCGTGACGTACAAAGACACGTCTTACAAAATATGTTGTTTCTTTTAGTTTAGTGAAACTTCTTTTTCTTTAGCTATACTACAGACATTTATTCAGCGAGTCAGTGCTGGTAATATTTATCTAACACTGGTGGAAAATAGCATTAAAACAAATTAATCTTATTTTCTGTTTTTTTTTTTTCATCCCAGGATTAAAACATAATTATTTCATTCAATTCATGCAATAAATAAAATGATTATTAGCACATAAGAGTGTTTGTCACTGCCATAGATTATTGTTTGATGTTTATAGTTTGTTTTTAGCACAACATTCCTGTATGTTTTATGGAAATATAAAGTTTTTTTAAATATATTATTTGGTGACATTTCATACAAATATTAATATTTGCTTGTCGGTGAATTAAAGAGATCAAACAGATTAGTTTTCAGTGTTAAATTAACACGAAAAGCATGTCTGCAATCAGAATAACTTTATTCGTAAACTATTAAACATTTTACACATTTAATATAAATTTAATACATTTGTGTAGTTCATACATGGCACATTTTTTTGTCTTATCCAGCACATCTTTATGCTTTTTCATGTGCTGCACATTTGTTTGGATGTCATATGTCTTACAGGGGTCTGCAAGATGCGGCTCTGGGGCCGCATGTGGCCCTTTGGTTCTTCTGCAGCGGCTCTTTCAGGCTTTGACCAAAACTAACATGAAACTGAATTTTATTTAAATTATTGCCAACAATGAAAATGGCTAGTTTCAGCAGACTTCCTGTCATTTTCCAATATGTGAAGGACAGTACAAATACACGGTGTAAAACTTGTGGACTACATCATGCTAGTAGCTTGTTAGCCACTTTAAGACGACGTCCAGTCTCTGAGAGATCTTTGTCTCAAAACCACCAGAATGTTTTGGAATATCTTTAAGACAAACTGCTGAGAAGGAATAACACGAGTAACTTTGATAACACTAAGAATAAAAAAAAAAACAAAGTAAATGAACATTATTTATTTTTCTTTTAAAAAGTAGCTGGATTTCCAACAAACTGGCCTCATTTTATACTGTTTTAACTTTATGATTTAAGTAGAATACTTAATTCTTCAACAATTAAAAGAACTAACATTGACCTGCAGAGTTCATTGTTTTAATTTTTATAAAATTGTTAAAATTATATATTTTTTCTTTCTTTATGTAATTTTTTTTAAAATTTGTATTAAAGTGTAAAAACATCAATAAATGTTAATAATAGTTTTACATTTTTCATTTTATAATATCACCCCCACTGGCTGGAGAAGCCATCTCAAACAAACAAATGGCCCATGGGCCACCAGTTGACAGTGCACAGCTGGAGCAGGTTTTGCAGCTCCAGACATCATAATTAATAAGCAAAGTGGCAAAAATGGCTCATTTTACCACAAAGGTTGCAGACCCCTCTATTAGTGGCTATTGTTTATTTTGGTGCTCTTTGTTTAAACTTTCTGAATCACTTTTAATTTAGTATTTTACTAAAAACATCCTTAAAGTAACTAGTTCTGCACATTTCTGAAGGAATTTAAATATCAGTTTGTTTCTGTAATATGATTTTCTACTTCAACAGACATGACCAACAGTTATTAAAAAGTGATTTTTTTTTTTTTATTAGGGATGCACAATATTATCGGCATGGTATCGATATCGGCCGATATTAGCGTTAAAGTTAAATATTGGACATCGGCCATTCCATCTAAATATTTCACCGATATAAAAGACGTTGTTTTTGTATGACAATGTTCGGACAAAGGAAAGTATATAAAATATCGGGATCGGTTATCGGCCCAATAAGTTTTAATGTATCGGCATATCGGCTAAAAATCCAACATTGTGCATCCCTAATTTTTATCATTGCATTATTTAAAAAAAACACTATTTTTGTTTTTTATGAAAAATTCTAATCCATAAATTCACCAATAAATAAGCAGATTGAGGCTAAAAAAATTAATTTTTGACAAAGTTGTTGTGTTGTCCCCTTCTTAACTTCACTTCTATCCTCCTTCCCCTTTCTTCCTCTCCTCCTTTGAGTCATCCCATCTCTTTCCTTCTTCTCCATGTTTCATTTTCCATAGACACTCTCATTTATTCTGTCCACTGCTGCTATAATAGGCCATTATGCCCAGGGGTAGGCATTATTACAGTGTTACCCTCTAGGCTAATTGGGCTTGAGCCCACGATTACATCAGTATCACTTGAACACACAGACACACGAGCATTCTCCGTGCACACATTTCTTCTTCTTTATTCTGTTATTAGTATCTCTTAAAATGCCACACTGCCTTCGGGCTTTAAAAGCACAGCAGGAGCTCAGACTTGATGGCAGAAATACTAGAGAGAAAACGTTAAAACTGGGGGACACCTTTGATCAGCTAAATGGAAATATTTTTGCATTACATAAACCTTTTTAGTTAAAGTAAATTTCTGTTTATTTAATTTGAAATGAGCTTTGGTCTTTAATGTGAGAAGATACAGACTCTGAGGGGCAGAGCAAGAAAAAAATGAGATTTTCAAACAAAAATACGTCGTTAATTTTCTGTTTGCCTGTGGTGGTAATTCGTTAATGAGCCTTTTGAGCAAGATGCAACTCGAATTTAAATAATCACGCTTTTGCTTGGAGGTAAAATTAAATCATTTTCACTGAATCCAGTGATGTTTTTATTTGTGATTTTCTTTTTTAAACACGTCTGGTTTATATACAGTAGAGTTGCTAAGAAAAGGGAAGCGTGATATAGAGGTGATGCATGTGATGGAGTCAGAAACCTTCTTTAAACTGATCATGGCACTCGAGCTTAATGTTGAAGTTTAGAAAAATGTTCGAATTCCACCTGTTACTAAAACATCTCCCATTTTTAGTATTTTATTCTTAGAAATAAATTGACTTTTGTTTCCACTTTTTTTTCCAGTTGTTTTATAGAAACTGTGGCTTTCAACTTGTTTTAAAATTAATAATTTAACAGAATCTGGTGTGACAAAAATAGAGCGTACAGCCATTATCCTTACCCGCTTCTTCTTTTTATGGGTCGCAGGGGTCACGTATAATAATTTAAAATGAGCCAAAATGAGCAAAACTTCTCAATATTAATTTTAATTCAGTTCAGTATATTTATATATCGTCAAATCACAACAGAAGTCGTCTCAGGGCACTGAACAGGAAGGAGGCCAGCAGACTCGTTGAATCTTCACATCGTCGCAGTCTCCCATCCTGAGCAAGCGCCAAGGAGACAGTGGAAAGGAAAAACTCCATTTTAACAGGAAGAAACCTGCAGCAGAACCAGGCTCAGGACAAGTGGCTGGGTTTGAGAAGAACGGAAGGAGAAACAGACGGACCGGTCCAGATGTAGGTGCAGGTGTACCTCCTACTGGAAGAAAGAAAAAAAACACATAAGGATGGAAAAAATTACAAATACAGAACAGAAAGCGCAGAGTAAGTAAAGACAGCAGAGTAAAGAAATGTGGTCAGTTTGTCCTCCAGCCGTCTGAGCCTATAGCAGCATAACTAAGGGACAGCTCAGGAAACCCAAGCTAACCCTAACTATAGGATTATTAAAAAAGGGAAGTCTTAAGCCCAGTCTTAAAACTGGACAATGTGTCAACCCAGTGGTGTAGTCTACATTTTTGTAGATGGTATACCGCAGCATAGTTTTATGTTGGACGTTGAACACCGCTGAAGTCAAGGAGCGCGAATGTCCAACGTAAAACTAATTTTACCGTGGTCAGTCCGTACTTCGAGACCAAAGTACACTGGTTGGTACAAAGTAATCGTCAATTTATTTTTAAGCCTCTTGAACATTCCCAAGTTTCTCTGATGCTTATATTTGAATAAATGCACAACAGTTGGCTTTGTATTAAAAACATGTTATAGAATTTATAAAACTGTATCAAAGCAAAACATGTTCAAGTATTAAATACAGAATTATACAATCATTGGCTGGATAAGCGAATGTAATAAACAAGCGCTGCATACCTATAGATTGTTATGGAAGCGTTTAGCTGCCATATAATGTCTGAATGACACGTGCCTAATGATATGTCATGTATCACCGGGCACTTTTAAGTGGATATACTGACATGCTTAAGCTTTTTCAGTGGGTATACTCCATATACCTGCGTATCACGTAGACTACACCACTGTGTCAGCCTCACGGACAGAAACTGGAAGTTGTTCCACAAGCGAGGAGCCTGAGAACTGAAAGATCTTCCTCCCATTCTGCTTTCGGAAACTCTAGGAACCACAAGTAAACCTGCAGTCTGGGAGCAAAGTGCTCTGTTATATTGCCCTTATTTATGAAGACGATGAAAGATAAATTGCCATAACGCCGCACGTTTTTCAGCTGTGTGGTGTTTCATGACTCAGAAGTTCAGAAATTGGATCATTGCAGACATTCCCTGCTCAAACTGTCGATGAGGGAAATGTAGGCGTTTAGGAATATAGCTGTTTACTAAGCACTAGCTTTTGCTGTCGTGAATTGTTGCACTAAAGTCTGAACGGCCTCCGTTAGGTCCAGTTTATGGTCGACCGTCTCCTCAGCTGTTTAACCACGAGGCTCCTCCTGCCACACTGTCTCAATCACTCACAAAATGAAGTGATGAATGTTTTTCCTTTTGAAATGTTTGCGTTTCAGTGGTGTTCTATTTGTATGTGTTGGGGAAAAATTATTTAGGTCTTGGACCAAAACAGATCAATTATGAACAATTTCATGGATTACTGTTATAAGAAATTTGTTTTCTAAAGTATGTGAAGATATGAGAAGAACAAAATCGACTGAATGGGTTTGGAAATGAGACTTAATCATTCATGCTATTGAAATTTGCTGAGGACTTTGTGCTGGTCGTTAAATGTAATACCACTGGTTTAATCAGCTCCTTTTAAGTCTTCCGTCTACATGGACACAGTTTTTCCAAAATAGCCTTTTTGTTTTGTTGTTTCTAAAAATATCTTCACAAACACGGCATCATTTTTTTTGAGAAGTCT